GGGGGGGGGGCGGCAGTAACGAGCGATGCGGGATTTTCTTGAGTGTCAGAACGCGGGAATCGGGTGGGTGTGGGGGCGTCAGCCTGGGGACGCAAACGGTGTGCTGTGCTCTGCAGCAGACGAAAAATTCCCTTGGCCCTGGTCGCAGCAGCCTCCTGCGTGCACCCGCGCAAAATACAATTGGGGGTTGTACGACTGCGCGCAGTCCGTGGCCACCTGTTGTGCTCCCGCCAGGCCCTGCCAAGCACAGCAGGTACTCGAGCCTGCCCCTCACCTTGATACTAGGCAAGTCCCCATCATCCTAACAGCGCTACTGTACACGCGCAAAACCAACTCGCTGTCGGCCCCTTCACACCCCCTGCCCAGCCCCCAAAGCCCACGCCCACTCCCTGGCCCCAGCCGCTTGCCTCTATGTCTGCAGGCAGCTTCAGGTACTTGAGGGCGTCAAAAATCTCGACCACATTCGGGTTTTCGCACGCTGTCAGAGGCAGGCGAAACGCGGGCGGTGCTGTGGACGTCCTGTGCAGTCGCACGAAGTCGGCGCCGCGCTGGGCGGATGCCGTCCGCCTGCGTAAACCTCACGCCCATCTATCGCCACGCCTCACCTTTGTCTGCGGGGATTCGCCGTCCCTGGGCCACCGTCCGTTTGGAGTTGATGTATGCCGGGTACAAGATCACACGCTGCGCGAGTTGAGGGACGTGCAGGCCCTGTCAGCCATCCGCTGCCGATGCACCAGGCGCGCGGCGCTCCGCATGCCGATGCATCAATGTGCAAACAGCGTTGCGCGCGGCAGTTTGCAGCACCTTGTCGTGTTCCACACTCATTGTGCGACCTTCACGTCTTGCTAGGGGTCTATCTTGGCTTGTGCAACGGTTCTTCGGACGAGCTGGGCGATCCTAGATCGCAGCACTGTGAGGGACGTTGCGGATGTCGCAAGTTGACGAGTTTCAATGAGTAAGTTACCTGAATACAGCGACATAACCGACACATGATGTCCGAGCTGGAAGGTCGCTCAGGCACAACCTGCTCGCCGGCTTCCTCGCAATGTTGTGGTCTGCTTCTCCTCCGCGAGTCTCTTGCCTGAGTTCAACGGACTTAAAGCCAAAGCCGCTTGGAATTGTACCTGCACTCACGATTCTGCATTAGCCTGACAGTCAGCTGCGCGAATAACCGTCCTGCACGCTCAGGAGGCTTAGAGGAACAATATATTGGTCTACGAGAGCTTTTTAATAAGCTTGGTGTAGGACTCTTTACAGCCCTGCACGGCAGTGCGCAGCACAAGCCCCGCCGCCCCGCACTGCCCCGCAGCAGGCCGGGCAGGTGCCGCTATGCAAGGAGGGCACGAGTGAGCTGCTGGGGCTGCGGCACAGCTGGGGATCATGCTGTGGGCTTCTATTCCGTCGCTTGCCCGCCTGGCGTGCCTCGACACACGGCCCAGTTTGTCCCCGTCTGTGCACGCCGCCTCGCGCCTGGAAGCGCTAGCCCGAGGCAGCTTCCACGGCTGTCAAAACTGCTGCCCCTCACTCGCCGTGGCCCCGTCGCCCGATGCAATACCATGTCATTGCAGCGATCCGCACGTCCCGCCGCCAATTCGCACGGGGCGGCCGCCCTTGGCGCCCGCGCCCCGCGGATCTAGCGCCACTGGTGGCACTGGCACCGACCAGCAGCAGCAGCCGCAGCAGCAGCAGCAGGCCGGCACTCCCCCCACTGCCTACGTCTACCCCGCTCCCCAGTACTTCAGCAACGACTCGCCCAAGAACTCCTCCAGCCCCAAGCTGTATGAGAGCCCAAAGGTAACCACGCCCCAACTGGGCTTGCCTGGGCTGCGGATGCCTGGACGTGTCTGGGCAACGGCCCTTCTTGACGCATCCCAAACCGCGGCGCATGGCATGTCTGAGCCCCGCGCGCAACGCCGGCTGCCGCTCCAAGCAAATATCCAGCCGCATGCTGCGCGCTTGGGCACGACATCGACACGCCGCCCGCCGCTCGGCCCACAGGCAGGAACCAACGCAGAGCAGCGTCCGCGCGCCACCGGCGGCGCCAGGGCGGCAGGCCATGGCCGCCTAGCCCCTGCGGGACCCCGGCAGAAGACAACATGGGGCAAGCGCACGCCTCTGCGCTACGACCCGTCATGGTTTGCCATTCTGGTGAGATCACCACCTGCATGGGCTTAAAGCACCGAGGTTGGCGAGGGCATGATGCATGCGTTGTGAAGACGGGCAGCCGCAGGGGATGCATGCGTGCACGCATGGGCGCGCGCATGCGCATGCGTGCACATGGTGCTGGTGTGGCGCTCTCCAGAGGGGGCGCGCTCCATGCGGCGGGCGCGCCCGAGGGCTCCGCTGTATTGCAGCCCGCTGAATCTCCTCCACCCTGCCTCCACGGACCCCAGGTGGCCCTGTTCTATCTCGGGGCGGTGGGATTTTACATGTACGTGCGGATCGCCTTTACGCTGGGCTTCAAGGACAAGTGGTACTCTGTAGTCATTCTCGCGGTCGAGTGCCTCGGGATCAGCGCCGTCATCCCCTGTGAGAGATGACGCAAACGGGCGCTGCTCATGGCCAATCCGGTGCCATCGGCCCACCTCGCCTGGCCCCACCGGCGCACGCCGGGTGGCGAGCGGCTTGGCTCCTTGGAGCAGCGCCGTTGCCTCCCACCCCTCCCACCCTCCCCCCCGATCGCGTCCTCCCTAAGTGTGCACGATCCCCGCCTTCCAATCCAATCGCAGACGCGACGCTCAACATGGTCCACTCCCACCCGACGGGCAGCCCCGGGCTGCCGGCGGACGACGGCGTGTCAGACCCCGACACCAAGTTCCACGTCAGAGTCATGGTGCCCTGCTGTGAGCATTAAGAACACATATGGATGGAATTGTTGCTTGGTTGGCAAGCCTGCCGAGCCTCGCCGAGTCCGGCCACAGCTGCATGCCCGCTTGGGGGCAGCTTGGAGAGATGCAAAACGCCTGCGGCTGCGCCGCCGCCTCGAGCCCTGCCAAGCAAGCCCCTTCGTCCGCCGGTGTGGCCCCGCATGCGGTGACACCTGCCAGCTCACAATGTGAACGGACATCCCGAAACCCCGCGCTCCCCTCTAAAGCCGCCGAACCCATCCACGCTTGACCCCTGGCGCCGCCCCGGGGCAGACAAGGAGGACATTGCCATCATCTGCGCCACCGTCGACGCGGCCATGACGGCGGACCTGCCCCCTGGGGTCACGCGCACCCTGTACCTCTGCGATGACGGAAGGGTGGGGCGTGGTCGTTAACATTTATTTGAATTGAATGCCCTGTGCTTGCGTGTGTGCTCCAACAGGGGCCGGCTGTGAACAAACAGTAGGTCTGATTTTGTTCGGGGGTCAATGTGCCATCGGTCCATCCGTGCAGGTTCTTCAGGACCGGGGGAGCACGCGCAGGGATGGTGCAAGCGCGTGCGATGGCGGGCCCACGGGGCGGAGGTGGAGAGGGCCTTGTGGTGTTGGTGCACCAGGCGCGCTGCCCTGTGCACCCCCAAACCCTCACCCCTCAATCTCATCCTGCCACCCTCCACGCGCCAGGACCCGAACAAGCGCGCCTGGTTGGAGGAGAAGTGGGGCACGTCCGGCGCCGTTTACGTCAGCGGGCGCACGCGCGCCAAGGGGGAGGTGCGCGG